CTGTGAACTCGGGTGTGAGCTGAACAGGGGGGCGAGAGGGGGTTTTGGGGGAGCTGGGCTGGAGAATGGGGCAGGAGGGTCGACACAGAGGGGGAAAGAGATTCAAACATATTTAGGGACTAAGATGAAAGCACTCTAACATCCCCTTGAACAAAGCCAGGGGTCAGCTATAACAAATGAACAACATCCACTGCACGGCCAATGCATGGGGGGTTAAACTCCCTTTGAACCCTGTCTTTACCCATGGGCCTTTAAGAGAGACTGAGATGAGTCAGTAGATTTATTTCACTGTTTAAAATATTTTACTAATTTATTATAATCATTGCACAATTAATGACAATTTAACTATCATATTTTTAATTTAGTATTATTTGATTCTTTTTTCCATTCTTTCTATTACTTTTTAGATAAATAGTAATTGAAGTTTTGATTTTACAACACCTTTTCTCATTTATGGTATCCTCTTTTGTGTGTGTGTGTGTGTGTGTGTGTGTGTGTGTGTGTGTGTGTGTGTGTGTGTGTGTGTGGTGTGTGGTCGGTCCAGGTATTCCCTACATTATGGGGATCAAATGTCCCCACAAGTATAGTAAATATTTTTGTTTACATTTCTGACATTTTTGACATTGTAGGGACAAAATTTCAGTCCCCATGAAGAAAACAGTTATAAATCACATACTTTTTTTTAATTGCAAAAATGATTTGTGTGAGGGTCAGGTTTAGGGGTAGGGTTAAGCTTAGTCTTGTTCTTTACATAAATGTTGTGTATGTGTGTGTGTGTGTGTGTGTGCGCGTGTGTGTGAACCAATATGATAAAATGACTCTATTGCTGAGAGAGGACAATCAAAAAAATTATTACAAAAAAAATGGTAACATTTAAATTAAGTGGTTTTATGCTAGTCAGTATTATTTAACATAATTTAAATCCACTTAAATTCATTATTTTATACCAACAAACTAATTTATATTGGTTACTTCAAGTAGAAATTAGTCTTAAAGGTTACAGTTGCAGGTTACCACTTTTTACTAGATTATAAATGGTTTTAATAACAAGGGCTTTTTGTTTTTTTGTTTTTGGACCAAGCTGGTTTAGGTGGTTGACCTTCTGGACAACCAGCTGGTTAGAGCTGGTAGGCCACCATGGACCAGCTAACATGCTTAAAATACAGCTTGACTACTTGACCTGGTTTTTCTAGTAGGTGTGTCTCATTTTGCTTGGATGTAAAGCTGTGTACACTATATATATATATATATATATATATATATATATA